GCTGTGGCTAGGACTTCCAAGCTATGTTGAATAGGAATGGGGATAGTGGGTAGCCTTGTCTTGTACCAGATTTTAGTGGGAAGCTTTTGAGTTTTTCACCATGGAGTGCTATGCTGGCTGTAGGTTTGTCATATATGGCTTTTATTATGTTGAGATATGATCCCTCTATACCCACTTTGGTGAGAGATTTTATCATAAATGGGTGTTGAATTTTATCAAATGCTTTTTCTGCATCTGTTGAGATGATCATGTGGTTTTTGTCCTTTCTCTTGTTGATGTGATGTATTACATCGATTGATTTGCGTATGTTGAACCACCCTTGTGTCCCTGGAATGAACCACACTTGATCATGGTATATAATCTTTTTTATGTGTTGTTGGATTCTATTTACTAATATTTTGGTAAGGATTTTTGCATCTATGTTCATCACTGATACTGGTTTGTAATTCTCTTTTTTGGTGGTGTCTTTGCCTGGTTTTAGTATCATTTTATTTGTATTACAGGATTGAGCCAATAAATACATTGCCAAAGGAAAAAAAACTTGGTATATAGTAGCTGTTCAAAAAACATTTGTTCAGCTAAATTGAACTTTTTTCCCCAAATAGAGACTCAGGGTATTCCTGAGATCCCTAGAGGTTATGGATAAAATTTTTGTACATATACATTTACATCCAGCACAAGATGGAAGGTTCTGTGCGATTTCCAAATAACTTACCCAAGTCTGACTGGCTTTATACTTTTATGTTGCTGTGCACCGAGGGAAAATGAGAAAGTTCGTGGAGGTGTCAGTTGGTTACGTGAAGGCTTACCTGCATTATAGTAGAAAACCCAACTGCTTTTCCCCTTCACCGTCTAGAAACTGACCATTTATTAATGTTCCTACTTTCAGAATCGTCAGATTAGATTCTGTCTGTTGAGCAAGAACACACAATGGCCCTTCTAAAGCATAGGTTCTCAAGAGGAAACGAAAACCAGACAGAAAGGGGCCTCAGTGTGCCTCAGGCCTGCTGCCTGGTTTCCAGTAAGCTCTCCTCTGATCTCTTTCTGTCCTGGGCCCAGGGGCCAAGGCAGTTCGTCCCTGATGGTCCAGTCCACCAAAAAGTACCAAGATGGTCCTCTCTCAGCAAGCTGTTGGCTCCACCAATGACACTAAGCAGCCTGGTCCCGGAGATGACATTTCCTTATATTATACTGTGTTTTTGCCATGTCATGGAGTATGTGACTGTTTCTGTCAGAAACTTGCTGTTTACATTCTGTGTTTACGTGGCATTATCTGGCTGTTACATCCATTGGTAACTAATATGGTACTGCTACTTTGGGGTCTTAACATCGCCTGCCATTCTGTGAGGAATATTCTGGAGATTCCCTCAGACGAACAGACAACTTAAGTCCCATCACAAGCCAGCTAATTAAATTCCCCTGCTTATGCCATGCTATTGCTTCAGTTGGATTCAGGAGCCAGTCCTGGCCTGTGTGGTTTGCTTCAAAGGTCTAGCTTGTAGAATCCAGTCCCCCTCTCACCTAGAGGGGAGTCCTAAAACAGTGGGCAAAATGTCGCATTATTCTCCTTTGTTTTCCAAACAAGAAAGTTGTTTGAAGATTCCAGATTTTCGAGGGACTTTGACTGAGAACCCAAGGTTGAGCCCCAGGGCTCCTGAGAAAAACTGGGCAGGCCTGATAAGGTTAAAGATGCTTGCAGTCCAGCCCCCCAGGCCCCTGCTTCCTGGACCCCTCCCCAGTTTTGCAGTTGCGTGTGTGGCGCTGTCTGGGAGCCACTTCCACATTCAAACTGTAGTTGCGTGTATGGTGCTGTCTGGGAGCCACTTCCACGTTCAAACTGACAATTGGGATCCGCCCTCTCTGTGCTCTCACTCCAGAAGCCCTGGGTTTGCATCCTGGCCCTGGTTCATATCCCCCATATAACCTAAGGCTGGTCATCACCTATCAGTCCCCTCCCCTAGAAAAGGCTTGCTGGTAACCCCTACCTTACATGCCTGTAAGCACCCAGGCATTTCTCAGCAGCAATCACCACCACGAGCATTAATCTATTATTATTTTTACTCTAACAAAATTCAAAGAGACCGAGTTTTCACGCACAGTATCACCATGTGGCAGTCACGCGTGTTTGCCTTTAGAGTCAAGCTGCGATCAGGGACCAGTGGCTAGCACAGTGCCTGACAATACTCTCTGTTCACCTGTCTTTTCGTGTCCTCCCTTTTTCATAAGCAGTGAAAGCATTGTCCCCCAGAACAGCCAGATAGTATTAGAACAGCTAAAGCAATCATGATCTCAGAGCTTACGAAACTCAGATGGTGTCTAATGGCTTGCCTGCCATGCTCCTGGATTGCACCCCTGACCCTGGGGACAAGAAAGTGCCAGGAAGTCACTTCCCTACTTTGCAGTTGGGGACAGAGTCACAAGGGCTGGAGAAGGCAGCCGTCAGCATCAGGAGTGACGTAGCTCTCTCTTCCCTTGAGTCTCTGACTCGGCGCTCTTTCGGCTAATGCCTCGTGTTCGTTCCAGTGACTTTTCCACCATCCTTGTAAAGTCTTTTCCCACCAGCTGGCGGAGAGAGACACTCAGCTAAGCTTGGAGCTGTGGTTGTGAATTTGCTGTTTTTTTCTCCCTTGATCACATTTCCCGGTCTTTCTAGGACTACAGCATGAAGGAATTTTCCGAGTGTCAGGATCCCAGGTGGAAGTGAATGACATCAAAAACGCTTTTGAGAGAGGTGAGGAAACAACCTTAAAGATAAGACCAAATGTTTGCCAGCCCCCTGGGATGTGGGCGCTACCCTTCCCTCCCTGAGAGGTACCCAGAGGTCAGCAAGCCAGTTTGCCTCCCTGTTCAGCCCAGCCCCTTCTCTCTGGTAGACATCCCCTTACTAGATATGCACCGAGACACCAGGGCATGTCCCTGTTTCCTCCTTCTCAGCCCCGGGCATCCTGCCTCTCTCCTGCGGATGATCTGCCCAAACCCCAGAAGGTAACTGTGGTATCTGGGCAGTTGATGGCTGTATGCGGGACCCTTGGTGGCAGGGCGAGTGCGCCTGCTCCATCATAGCCCATTTATTATCTTGTGGGTTATTAAGGTAATGGGCAAGCTTCGGCAATTTCCGTCACCCTAATGGATATATATAGTTTCAATTTAAGGTTGGTCCTGTCATTAAATCTAATTACACCTGATACGAAATCTTCCATTGGGAGCCCCAGCATGATTGTTCTCCTGTAAGTAGGTGTCCTTTGCCACAGGCCAAGAGGAGTGAGAGCTAGTCAGAGGGGCTGGCCTCCCTGGCCTCCCTGGCCTCGTTTCCCTCCCCTAGGGGCTCAGTCCCAGCCTGCTTTCAGGGTTCTTGTGACAGAGCCAATTGCTGTGTCCCATCCCCAGCCCAGAGGGAATGTCCCTGAGCTAGTCTGGCACAAGCAAATTTATCTTAATGGACTCTTGTGGCCCTGCCCTCCGCCCCTGGGTCTGAGCAGTCCTTGCTTCATCTCGTCGCCCTACCCATGGCCGCCATGCTGGGCAGAGAGCTGATGGGCTGTGATGAAGACCCCCTTTCCTACCACCTCTGCTCCATCCTGTGTGCTTTTACCTCTCACTCTCTTTCCTTTTTGGGGGGTTTGCTTATCCTCAGGAGAGGACCCCCTGGCTGGGGACCAGAATGACCATGACATGGACTCTATAGCTGGCGTCCTGAAGCTTTACTTCCGGGGGCTGGAACACCCTCTCTTCCCCAAGGACATCTTCCATGACCTAATGGCCTGCGTTAGTAAGTATCATCCCAGAACACCTCGTAGCAACAGATAAGAAATTTCCACCGGGTCTTATTTTCTTGTGAGCTTTCCAGTAATGTTTTCCTTTTTCCCTTTTCCTCAGTGAAGTTTCTCTTCTTTGTTCTCCCTCCTTGATGCCCTGGTAGGGGAGCGAAAAAAGTGACTTTTCAATAAGAATCTGGACCAGAAGTCAGAACTCCTGGCTTTTTTCTTTCTGTTTCACCCCAAGCTCCTTTGTTTTGCTAGGCTTTGTCTGTCTTCAGCAAAATACATCTGTGTCCGTATGTAAGACACAGACCATCCTTTTCAGCTACTGGAGGCTTGTTTATTAGTGCTGGTACTTTTCGTGACTCAAAGAGAGAACACGTAGATGTTACAGATGCTGCCTGCCT